CGTAAACGAAACTTACTGCATGGATTGCCTGTTTATTGGAAACAGGTAATCCATTTCCTGACTATTAGTCGTGAAAGTTGGCTAAAATTGACATTTTATGCCTAGAGACGACGAGAACGTCGTACAGGTATTTGTTCGACATTCGATGGCCTTGCCTCGACTCTTGGGAGGGATGTGGTGTTTTGGGTGGCAACGCTATCGGGTGTGGAACGTGGTGAGTACAATTTGAGTCTGTTAATATGCACGGTTTGTCGCGAGATGCGACCTATCAGGTTAGCGATTGTTATGTTTGGACGTTGAACGTCCTCAACCACGAAAGGGCCTTTCCATCGGTTGGTGAGTTTGGGACGCACAGTGTCGTCGTGTAGAAGTACAAGATCCCCGATGGAAATGTCCTTAGAGTATACCTTGTTTTGCAGGTCGTATCCCATTTTGTAAATTGCAGATTTCTTCGCGATTTCATTGCCCACTTCCATAATCGTGGTTCTCAATCCGGCTGTGAACTGATCGACAACATCGTCCGAGGCGAAGACTTGGTGGATCGGCAGCTCGTGGAGCACGTCGCTCCAAGTGATAGTGTACCTTCCGTGGACTACATAGAAAGGGCTGTAACCTGTAGTTGTATTTGTACTGCAATTGTATGCGAATACAATTGGCTGGAGAAGTTCTGTCCAGAGATCTCTCGCGTCCGCGCAATAGGCGGTGAGAGAATCTGTTATGACTTTGACTAGTCTCTCGGCTTGGCCGTTGGCCTTATGGTTATAGCTGGTGGTAAAACTGTTTGTAATCCCTAGTGCCTTATTGATTTTAATGAACAGTTCGCTAGTGTAGTTAGAGCCGCGGTCCGATACTATTTCGGTTGGGACGCCATGCTTGGAAATGACGTCATTGATTAGTACTCTGATGACTGTTTCGGACGACTGCTCTACTAAGGGGCTGCAGATGAGGTATTTGCTAAATGCGCATACCGTAATAGCAATAAATTTGCTCCCGTCTTGGCATTGGGGTAATGGCCCAATGACGTCGGTGTGGATCCTTTCGAAGGGGCGTTGTGGAATAGGGAACGCACCTAGCTCTTCCCTTATGATGTGCTTAGAGGGCGTTTTGACTTTCTGGCATACTGGACAAGTATTGATGTATGTTGTGACGTCCTGATAGAGGTTAGGCCAGAAATATTTTTCCTTAATGTTCTTATATGTTTTGTGGATGCCTAAGTGGGATCCGAGGAGCGGATTTTCGTGAAATATTGCTATTATGTTTGTTTGCATTGCTGGTTCCGGAATGAGTAACTTTGGCTTATCATGGATAGTGTAGAATAAACAATTATTGCGAATTGAGAAGTTGTGCAGTTTATTCTCGAATTCTTGAGGGGGTTCCTCGTTTTCGTTATTGAGGAACTTAATTAGCTCGCCGTACTTGGAGTTGCGCTGTTTATTTCGGATGTCGTCGAGAGAAGGGAAGGACTGTACTGCTATTGGGTTGATCCTTGGTAGCGGATAACGGCTAAGGAAGTCGCATAGGGTATTATGTTTGCCTGCACGATATTCGATAGTAAGATCGTAACCTTGTATCGCAATTTGGTATTTGGCTAAGCGACCTACTAAATCGGATCTGTGCATGAGAGATTTCAGTGGAGCGTGGTCCGTTACCAATAGGATACGTGCGTTCGCTACGTACGGATAGAATTGCTTGAGGGCAAATACGATTGCTAGCGCTTCTAACTCGATGACAGCGTAATTCTTTTCGTGCTTATTGAGTGAGCGGCTGCAGTAGGCGATAGGGTGTTCCTCTTGCGTTTTTGGGTTGCGCTGTAATAAGCAGGCACCAATACCCGTAGTTGAGGCATCCGTGTGAATAATGTAAGGTTGTCCAAATATGGGGGCAACCAGGAGTGGTGCTGCAACTAGAGCATTTTTGAGCTCAAGGAACGCTTGTTCGTGGGCTTCCGTCCACGTAAATGTCGTATTCTTCTTTAGAAGGTTATGGAGAGGGGTGGCGATTATAGAGAAGCGAGGTATATATCGCCGGAAGTAGGAGGCGGCTCCTAAGAATGATTTAACGGCTTTGACGTTTGTTGGACTAGGTATCGTCTCGATGCTTGCTATTTTGTCAGGGTTGGGACGTGTTCCCTTTTTACTTATGAGAACTCCGAGATATTGAATTTCTGTTTGAAAAAATGAACATTTGTCTGGTGTTAGTTTCATCCCGAAGGAGAGGATACGTTGAAAAATTTCCTCCAAGTCTGTGATGTGTTGTGATACTGTTTGGCTAGCTATAATTATGTCATCTATATACGCAAAGCAGCACGAGCGCAACTCTCTAATGAGGCTGTTAGCTACGCGCTGAAAAGTACCTGGAGCGCCTTTTAATCCTTGCGCCATTACCGTGAAATGGTATAGACCAAGAAAGGATGAGAAAGCGGTTCGCTCCTTATGTTTCTCTTTGAGTGGTATTTGGAAAAACCCGCTTTTGAATCGAGTACTGAATATATTTCTTTCCCACTTACTAGATCAAGAATGTCCTGCATGTGTGGGATGCAGTACGTTTCAGTCTCGGTGATGGCGTTTATTTGGCGGTAATCAACTGTAAAACGCCATTGGTCCTTATTAGGGCCTTTCTTAACCAAAACGATGGGAGATGCGAATTTACTGGTGCTTGGTTCTATGATTTTGGTTCTAAGCATCTCTCTGATCTGCCGTTCTATTTCGTTGCGTTTCTCCAGAGGGACTCGGTATGGTTTTTGTCGAGGTATTCTGGAATGCGGAATGAAATTGATACTGTGAGTTATTGGGCCGTTATAGCGACCTAAATGTCCGTCGTTACCGACGAAACATTTCTCGTACTTATGAAGTAACTTTGCAAAAAGGTTGAATTGTTGCGGATTTAATAAAGATTTGTTAATTTGTACGCGGTTTTCTATTGGTAGGTCAGCGTTAGCAGTTGGAAAGTAAGGTAAATCCTTAACGTAATCTGACTCTGGCGGAATGTAGTTAACCGCTGTGTCGGCTTGAGTGTTTTCTGATGGATTATGATCATAGTGGGGATCGGTGTTTACAGAAAATATGGATTTCCACTGCATGTTGATACCCACAAAAGATGCTCTGGCTACGTTCGTGTTTTTCTGAAGCGTAACCGGATTAGGACCGAAGTTAAATATACGTAAGGCTACTATACCTTCTATGGAGGGGCAGGACAACGTTTTTCCTACATGTATGCCTAGTGGCAAGCTATTATTGCAATTGTCCGTAATGAGAAATTCCCACTGTTGAGGAAAGGAAATGTTAATGTTACCCCGAATCAAGTGGTCTGAAAATGGTTGCAAAATTGTGGTATCGGCTAAGGATACTGGAAATGTAAAGTTTGTGTTATCCTCCGGATTCATAGTCATGTAAGAAACCATGCAGTTTTCGAAAGAGATTTTACGTTGCCGGAAGTGAAGACCCATAGAATCGGAGAAAGTGTCGATGACATCCTGGCCTAGAATGAATGGGGAAGGGTTACGTTCCCCATCCGGAGAGACATAACAATTTATTCGAAGTGTCTTATTTCCTATTGTAAAGTCAGCCTCGAATTGGCCTAGGATTTTCATTGGTAGGTGATTAGCGGCCTGCCCAGTCTTAAAGAGGATGGTACAGGTAAAACACCCAGGTATTTTGCGACATTTTCAGTTACCACGGTTATGTCAGCACCCGTGTCGAAGAGGGCTATGATGGGCTTATTATTAAATATTGTTGGTACAAACATTCTGCTGGAGGGTTTTTGGGTAGAGACGGAACTGATATTGGGAAGGAAGTTGAGGAACGGTTTGGGTTGCAACAGGTTTTGTGTTTTGTGGAAGAGATTGAGAGCTAGAGGGTAGCATGTCCCGAAGGGATATCTCTGTGTATTTGGGAAAGTGGACCGAAACTTGCTGCGACTCTATGTCTGTATTATTGGAGGTTCGTCTTTGTCGTCGCGGCGGCATTACAGGACGATCGTTAACAGGAGGTGGTGCTATGAGGACATTGCTGTTAGGGTGTGGACTGGGTGGTGGTGATCTCTTTTTGGTATATAAATTGGCAACGATAAATGAAATCAAAATTCCTATGTTTTTGCAGATATACTTGATAGTTTCACGTACCAATTTCGTATTGAAGTATAACACGGCTATTGCGATCATAATGAGAATAAATATAGTTATCCAAACGATAATTTTCACTGCCCTATGAAGGCCGAATGATTTTAGAACTCTTTCTTTTTGCGTTTGGAGGATTTCTCGCGCATTAGAATCCAAAAATCGGGCTGTGTTTGCTAGTTCTCCCTCGATGTTTTCTGTGGCTATTTGGATATTAGTTGGAGCGCTATTTGCATGCGTTGAAAAGGGGCCATCCATAGAGTTCAAGTGATTCTTAATGAGGTAGATATCTGTAGATATCTTAGCTAGGTCAGAATGGAATATAGGAGGGGCATTGAAGACGAAGTCTTGATTTGCTATTCCGCTAGGAAGGTTCATGTGGATATTGGTAACCTGTGCATAGCCTGAAGGGGATCTGTAATGGTTGTTCCCATCGTTATAAATTCCAAATGGCAAATGGCCACAGTCTGCTTGCGGACTAGATGTTATAAGGTCGCGCGTCCCTGGTTGTATGAAGTAGTAGGTTTTCCCGGATCGAACAGGTGTAAATTCGTAGCATGTTCCCGCTATATTGTGATCAAAGATGATCTCATCTATCACAATGTCTTTGCATTTAGATATCATGAGGACGTCCCCAGCTGGTAGTGCGAATATGTCCTCTCTATTGAGAAGCATGCGGGCTGCGCTGGTGGGGTTAATTTGAGCAATACTTTTAATTGCCTGAATTTTGAAGTTCAGCAAAGAGCAAATGCGGTCTAACAAATAATGAAAATCTTGCTGGATCACCTCCTCCATTTTAACTTTAAGGAATTGCATTTTTGTGTTTAACTCTCCATGACGACTATCTTGACGCTGCTCGTGGGATAGGGTCATGTCATTATTCATAATGGAGAAGTTGGGCTCTGAATTGAGTGCAATATGGTGAGCTATTTGGGCAGAGACGTTGGGTTGAATTCTATTAAGACTGTCTTCTGTTATTTGCAAATATGACAGTTTGGGGTTTTGTAACATGGTCGACAGCGCTTTGTAATTGCTAGCGATTAGTTGTGTTTGGCGTTTGTTATGGGTTTTGGCCAAGAAATCCTGTAGTTGGTTATGGAGGGTTTCATTTTTGATGAGATGGGCGTATTTGAGAATTGCTGATAGCGCGTCCTGACGATTTTGGGTGTCATCCGGGAACTTTTCTGTGGCCCGTTTCCTTGATATGGTGGCCCGTTTCCTTGATCGGGACGGTAATGGTCCAGGAGGGGGAGGCAGATATCCGTGCTCCGGGTAAATTTCGGTGTCTCGCGAAGCGCGAGATGATTCTGTGATGGAGTCCATTAGGTGGATTAATTGCGCGTTGTGGAAATGGTGCTTATTGATAGTTTCAACCAGACCAGGGTGTTCCGAAAATATAGTGCGTGGGCTGTACTCTCCCAACTCTGGAAGAGTTATAAACACACCGTTATCCATAGGAATGGCATTATTGCTTAGGCACCAACTATTTAGTTGAGATGGTTGATAAGTAATATTTTTGTATGTGAAAGCGGACTGGATATCATGAAGCAATATATGCGCTGGTGTAACGTATGCCACTCCCTCTGCAGCCTTTACATAGCGACATAATTGAGCTTTTTCTTGAGGTCGAGTCCATATTACGGTGCCATGGGTGAGGAGGCACTGATTTGTTGCAATGTCGCAGTGCGCCATATTACCAAACTGTCCTATGAGATGGCTCCCATCAAAAGTGCTATGTCCCCTTTTTCAAAATAGAGGTTGGTAGTAAGCGTACATTTTTCGCCAAAGAACCATGGGTAAGAGTAATGGACTTGGTTTTCTGATCCATACACACTAGATGATAAAGGTTCAAGAGGAACTCCCATATACTTTTTTGTCTCTGTTATGGACCTACAGATAGAAGGGTCCAGCGGTGTCATATATTCCTCATCACTATTTACGGAAAAAGAAATGTGCAAGTATGATGAAGCACAAATTTTTCTGGTTTTATTGAAACAGTGATAAGCTGGTATCAAAAGAGGTTCCGTCCGCTCTACGTAAACGTTTGCGGCTGTCACTAATACTTCCGAAGCATTTGGTGAGCTTGAACAAGTCATGAGATCTGGGTAGGCAACTGGCCACCCAGATTTTCCTGCTGAGCATATTTGATATTTCAGAGAGAAAGAAAAGACTGGAGTGAAGAGGGCACAAATGGTTGTCAATAGGAAGAGAGAAGTTATTGGTTTAAGGAATGTAGAGGAGGGCGATATACTTATAGAGTTGACTTGAGGACGGCGTGGTGAATATCTACGCTGCTGTCGTTCACCTGAGGATGTGTAACGACGTCGGTGTTGGTAATTGCCTGGGGATGAGCTACGACGTTGTTGGTAGTTAGATTGGTTACTGGGTCTCCGGAAAAAAGGTGTCGGATCCCGCTCGAATCGTGGCTTAGGAGGAGGTGTAAATCGTACCTGAGCACGCGTAGGTGTATTATTATATGGCCGATAAGAGTTTTTCTTCCAGAATTTGTTTCGGTTGTTATATGGGCGACGAGGTGGGTTATAGGAGTTAGATCTATTAGTTGATCTGTAAGGATTGAAAGGTTTGGGTGGTGGAGGGTTGGGAGTATTAGGAGTTAAAGTATCCAAGACTTTGTCGATCTTGGCTATTAGTACATTGTCCCCTGGAGAGTAATGTTCGGTTGTAATCAAGTCCCACATGCGTTCAGAATCCCGTACCAATTTGTCGTAATCGGTGGGTAGGGGGCCCAATAGTTTGAGTCTTTGTTTGATTTTGTTGGAAAGGGCGTTCGTGAAGATCATGGTTTGTAAGAATTTTCTTTTATCTGCCAGGTTGCTGCTTGGGTAGGCATCCAGAATTTCCTTGCGAATTCGATTGGAAAAAACTACAGGGGATTCTCCAGGTTCCATTTTCATATCCATTAGTTTTTCCCTGGCCATATCTAGGAAGTGATCTGTGGAAAAGTGTTGTTTAAGTTTGGTTGTGGCTATTCTCCAGTTTTGCTTGTCCTCGTCCGTGAAATTCTCGAATACTGCTTTGGCCGTGCCAGTTAGATGAGCGGGAAGAAGTCGGACCATCTTGGATTCTGTCAGACCCATAATGTTGCCGATTTCGTTAAATTTTTCCAAAAAATGCATCAGACCGGCGCCACCTCTTTCTCCGGTGAATGTAGGAAGTTTGGTTGCATAGGAGGCTAGGCAGAGTTTGTCAAAAGCACTGTCAAGGCGGTCAGTGAGAGGGTCGTTGTTCATTCTAAAGTTCGCGTTTTCCGAGGTGGGTAATGGGTTGCTAGAGGGATTCTGAAAAGGCGTTAGATATGAGCCAATGGGAAGGAAATGAGCAAATGGGTTTCCTAGTGAAAGGATGGGTTGGGGTTCTTCTGAGGTTACCAACGAGGGGTACAGTCTAGGGAAGATTGGAGATTCCTCGATTATGTGTACTGGTTGATGTTGAGTGGTAGCTGGTTCTTGTGGTGCCGGCTGTTCGAGTGGTTCCTGTGTTTCGTCGAAAACTGGCGATGAGGGTGGCAGTAACGGAGAGTACTGGGTGGGAGGATTACTCAAGCTCGGATAACTGGGCACGGAATAGGTGCGATGACGTCGGTATTCCTTTGCTGGGGTTGGTGGTTGCGAAGATGATTTGGATCTGAAGGTTTGTTTAGGTTTCTTCTTTTCGGGGGTATTAGGAAGGCGAACCCTGGTACGACGTTTAGTAGAGTTTCTTCCGTCGGGGTGGGTGAAGTATGGGTTTTCGTCGGAACTGGTCAGTGAGTCTGAGTCTATATTTTGCATAAGGTGTGATGATTCAATGAGGAAGTAGAAGAGAGTTACAGACTGCTATGAAATACGTTGAAGATGATCGGATGAAATAGGGTTAGGTGTGAGTGGGTTAGAGAGTAAAGAGAAGATATATATATATTATTTTTTTTTGTTTTTAAAGCCTATATGGGTATCCTAAGTTTAGACACGTGTAAAAAGAAAAGTAAAAGAAAAAGAAAGGAAGAGAAAAAGATGTTAGAATGTTAGGTGGTAAGTTGTCTTAAGAAAGAGACTCACCTAAGGTGTGTTGGCTGGATGTTGGGAAAGTTGAGAGAATAGAGAAGACGAACCGATTCCTGTGGAGTCGGAGTTGTTGAATGAGCTTGAGGGGAGCTTGATAAGAGGTTGATATCAAAGTGTAATGTTACGAAAGTGCATAGATAGCATGGATATTGAGAGATTGAGATGCTCTCTTCTAATTGCTTCGAGGAATCAAGCGTCCAATGCCGACGTGGCATAGCTACCGTAGTCTGTGTGGGATGATAGTGTAATGAGGGAAATCGCGTAGCGAGGTTAATTTTAGTTGTCTCAAGTGATCGGAAAGGAATCCGGAGTGATATGGTGTAATATCTGTTAGCTAGATGTGAAGGATAGAACCTGGTCTTGTGAAATCTTAGAAATGGAAGACATGGCATATTCACATGAATTTAGCGTATGTTCGAATAATTTTGTAGCTCCTATACTGAATAGTAACGGTTTAGGGGTGGTAATTCAAGTACCTATCTCTTTTTCTTTTGTTTAGATAGTGCCATGCTAGGTGAAAAGGTTCTTGGTTATTCGCTGTGAAGGATTTTTCACTTTTCTGATGTACGTGTGCGGCTGGATTTGAGCTACCCTGGCAGTGTGTATTGGTGTAATCGGATTAGGAACTAAGGGTGTGGCAGTGGGTGAGCTTCGAGGCTGTTCTTCAGTGTAGCACTGTTTGTCCCTGCGCATGGTCCGGTGTGGCTAAGTTTTGTTTTTTTTTCGCTTGGTATTGTTATCAATGCTGTTCGCATGTCTTGTGTTTGGGTTACCGAAAAAGATAGGACCTTCTGACAGTAATCTTTTTTTTCCAGGATGTCTTGTCGTTCAACATACACTTGTAAGAGCGAAAATCACAAAAAGGAAAAGGTGAGTTTCCACAGTTTTCTTTGGTGTAGTTATATGTATCTACCGTGATTTGCGTATAATGAGCGTTTGTTGTAGGTTTGTTGCGAATCATGTAGAGACGATCGCAGTTATTTGAAGAAGGCGCAGGAACTGTTGGCGTCAGAAAAAGACCGTCTCCTTCGCCTAGCGAAGGAGCGCTCCGAGCAAAAAACAAGGATGGAAGACGAGCGAGCTCGGCTGGAAGCCGAGCTTGTTGGGTTGATGGATTTTTATAGAGAGCAAATGAAGGTATTTGAAATTGTCTTCTTGTTTTTTTTTCTAAGTGCCTACGTTAAAGCAGTTTATTTAGGAGGAAATCCTCGCTCGAAACAGTCTAAGTGACATGAAATTTAGCTATTTCGCAGGAAAAAGAATCGAGCAAGACTAGGTTGTTCTAGTTCACCCATGAACCTGTTGTTCTAAATAAATGTTTTGAGAGAAAAAAAAAGTTGTAGTTTTGGTTAATGAAGTTGGAACTTCATAGTATCTACTCGTGAAGGAAGAATTTCTTATTTTTGGATATAACCCCTTTTTTTGGTTTAAGGAGAAAAAAAATGTCGCAGGATATGAATAGATTCGTGGCTGAGGTGCTCTCTTATGTTTCGGTAAGTACTCAGGGAAAAATGAATGATAACTATTATGTCCCTTTATTATTACTTTTGCTTCCAGCCTCAGAAATGTGAAGCATCGTCAGCGGTTCGAGTGAAGATATTTGGCGTCCTGAGGGACCACTCAACTGTCCGCCATTGGGCGGATAGTATGGCAGCGGACATGCTGGCTGAGATGGAAGAAGGCCGGGCGCGCATACAGGAACTTTTGGGGATAATTGACCGTGTGCAGAAATTAGCTAGTCAGCATAGAAAAGTGAGTTTCGGTTGCATAATGCCTTTTCTTCGTTTGAAATACTTGTGGAACAATGACTGTCACTTTTCAGGTTGTTGCGGAGCACTACACAGAGAAATATTGGTGGTGCCGACCTCTCACCACGTATGGCGAAGAGCCTGGAGCCTCGTCCATGGCGATGTCCAGGGTTGCCATTGTGCCCCGTCGCAATCATTGGGAAATGGACTACGAGGAAGCAGTAGACATGCTTGAGCGGCGCACAGCGCACTCGCTAAAAGTAAGAGGCGATAGTGATAGTGACGAGTTCATAATCGTTAGTAGTTCATAATCGTATTGCTCGTATTGCATTGTTGTATGCAATAAACTTGTTGTTATTTTACTTGTATTTATTTTGACGTTATGGGGGATCGTATGGTTAGAGTATTTGATTGATTGAAGAAGGATCCGCTTTTTGCTTTATTGGGCCTTCTCATTGATTCATTTTGGAGATTCAAAACGCCCCAATTCTTGTCATGCCCCCCCCAGTTCCCCTATTGATTGGTTCAGGAACTGAGGGGGCCATCCACCTCCACACAAGGCGGGAGGTGGGTGGCGGTGTCTAAGACACCGGCCGCGCACAATGAGGCAGGACACACCTAACAATTTGGTGTGCGGTAGGAGGATTCGAACCAGCAATCCTTCCTACCACGGGTGATCGATTCTCGACGCCGATCACCCGCCCTGCGCCATTGGCCGGCGTAAGGTAAGGATACTCGCGCAATTAAGTTAGAGTGGCAAGGCGTGCGCCGTATCCTTTAAGGGTTGCCGCGGACCCTTAAGCATGCGATAATTACTACCTTTGGCTTCTCCGTAGTAATTTAACTTGTAATTTTAATAGTGGTTTCTACAATCGATGATATTTGTAACCCATTGGTTTCTTTGTCCTAGTCCATGCCGTTCGCAGTTTCTAAGGGGGGTTGGGTATTATATGATGTTTTGTCCCTTAGTTACCGTAGTTTATTTGCTGCGCTATGGAGGTTGGCAGCTATATCGCACTCCGTTGTGCTGTAATGATTCGCTAATGCGAGATCGGTTCGAGGTACCGCGGATTAGATGAGTGTAAGGTACCGCGGATTAGATGAGTGTAATTATTCGCCACTGTAACAAGGTTTGACGGAAACAGTGATCTCTGGCGTCCCAGAGTTGAAGTTAATGAAACTTTCTGTGCACTATAGAAATGGGAAAAGTTGAATTGGGCTGCCTTTGTTTTCTAGTCGACTCTATGGCGATCGGGTCCTTAAATTTTACGTTGGTTTATCATTTATTTATAGTTTTTCTTTTCAATATTTCATTACTTTGTGGTAGTTACGACTATGGTTAGCTGTCAATATGGTTGTCGAAAAATCGCTGACATGGTTAGTGTTTCAAGCGCAAAATGGTTTCAATTTGACATAGAAAATCTGAGTGTCAGTATGATCAGAAAAATTAGGTTTTCAATATAATCATGGACAATTGAGACTTGAGAAAAGAGAAGAATTTCTGACATAATGAATGTGGTAGGGCGAAACGGTAGATGATATATATTGAAAACCTAATTTTTCTGATCATAATGAATGTGGTAGGGCGAAACGGTAGATGATATATATTGAAAACCTAATTTTTC